GAGAGAGAGAGAGAGAGAGAGAGAGAGAGAGAGAGAAAGAGAGAGAGAGAGAGAGAGAGAGAGAGAGAGAGAGAGAGAGAGGGAGAGACATTAAAGAGACGGCATTAAGCTAAACAAAACATAAATTAATAAAGGAGAAGAGGGGATTTGGGAGGGTTGTCTTTTTCAGTGTACATCTAGCCGAACAAAACAGAGATACAGAGGAAAAGAAGACTTGGGAGGGTGGTCTTTTTAAGAGTAGCATATTTAACACCATCAAGGAGGCGGGCTTTGACATTACCTGTCAGAGTCAGCCCGGTCTTAGAGGGACACAATGTTCCTGCATAAAAACTAAGACACGATGAAAATTCTACCCTCATGGTAATAAAATCCAAGCCTTCTGCCTGCGATGGCAAAGCGCCTATAAACAGCTACCCCACATGCGCCCGGGGGGAGGGGGGGGGTCTGTAGGACGTAGAGTAGAATATGTAGAAATAACCAATTAATGTAGGTGTTCTTACCCCCATCATTACAACTTAATTCATTTAGGAGGCGGGCTTTCGACCCTGCCTATCAATCCAATGCCAATGCTGAGAGGGATTGACATTCCAGCAGAAAGACCGAGATACTCGATAAAATTCGGGAATCGAACTAGGGTTTTCTGCGTGCGACAGCGGAGTGCCTGAACGCTACACCACAGATGTCAGTAGGACATAGAGTAGACTACTAAAGTGGCCCATAGATTAGTAGTAACATGCAGCGGTCAACGCTATTCCCTGCTACGGATAATGAGTTGAACAAGTTACAATTATCGGAGCGAGAACAAAGCAAGAGCAAAGGAAAGAGCAACTACAACAATTGCCCATACACTTGCCAAGTGCTACATGTATCATTATAATGAAGCTGTCGTTAGACTCTGCCATTCTTTCAACGCTCTGGCATGGGTCAAGGTTAAGGCCATGTTCGTGGCATTCTAGAACGATCGACCGCGGATAGATGGTAATCTTGAGTCCGAGGTCGGTGCTCTGATTTACTGTCATGGTACAGTGTTGTTCGAGCGTCAGCTCGGTCCGACGTTGTGTCCTTGGGAAAGACACATTACATGAATTTCCCATTTATTTGCTCGGTCCTTTCGGAGAAGGACATTAAACTCGGAAGTCCCGCCTCTTAAATAACCTTATAATGTAGCGTAAACCTATACCATCTCACCATTTTCAGTGTAGTTAAAGTAAACAGCCGGCAAGCCCAGAATAAAAAACACTGCAACTTTGAATTTTTAGTGTTTGAAGCTGGAGTGTCAGAGGCTTTCCCATCATACTACGTAAAGGTTTGAACTCCTTCTCTTTTAGATAAGTAGGAGTTTTACAGCATTTGCAAAGCATGTATGTCATATGCGTGTAGTCTTTCTCCTTTCTTTACTGAGATGAAAGCATGTTACTTTCGTTTTCCTTTTGAGGGACATGATATAGTGAGGGAAACCTCTGAATACAAATATCAATCTCAGAAGTGAATGTAACTGACATAGAAACTTGTAATTCATGAGTAGCGATTCGCGTTACACTGAACAAGTGAGATATAGTCATGGTCTAGTCTCTTGAAAAACTTCAGGGACAAATGACCCCCTCAAAGTTTAATAAATGCTGGGATGAAGTTATCATTGTATTATTATCTTTGAAAATTAAAAAATGAGAAAAAAGCTTTTTTGTTTGTTTGTTAGTTTGTTTGTGTGTTTTCTTTTTTATTCCTCTGCATAGAAACAACAATTGCTGGGACGTTGTATCCCTTTCAGTCCAAGTTGGAAGGGTGGAAGCCCGCCTCCTAAATGATTTACACTGTGTCGATGGGGACGAAAAAAGACACCTACAATAAATGTCTTTAAAAATAGCATCAGGACGATTGGTTTATGTTTCACTCTTCATATGAATCTATGTACGTGTATGGAGTAGTTTAGGAGTTTGCCGAGAAAGGGACGGGATTCTACTTTGCGACAAATGAAAACAAACACGTTGAGCAACAAAAGCGCCATGAGCACACATTCCAAAATGGCAACGAAAGCAGAGCCCAGAACGCCCCCCCCC